TGAGGACTTATATTTCCGTACTTGCTCTCTAAGGGGGCTGGGGTGGGGGAGCATGACAAAAGGAGTTGTTTTAAACCGGAAATGCAGAGCTATGGAGTACTCTCTCAGTGCACGATTATTCACCCTGGTCGGTTTCGACGAACTTTTGGAAATTCATTTATCTATCTTTTGTTTGTTTGTTTGTTTTTATTAAGTCTCCGTAAATGGGTGCATCGCTGATAAAGTGAATATTTCAACCCAAATCAATAAACGCAGCTTTGGAAAAAATACAGTTTACCAGTATTTTTCTCTCTGGGAGGCGGGGTTGCAGGGGGCTGTGTATCAACCTCAGAAGTCATTAACTATGGCGGCTCTTGCGGTAAGGTGTCACTTGATTCAGATTAGGCTGGTCAACTTATGTCAGAGTTGTAATTTTTATCACGACCAGTTACCAGGATTCCTCAGGGACGATAAGAACAGAATCAGTCTCTTCGATCTGATTGAAATAACAGGGTTTGGTTCATGTAAGCTGAACCTCTATTTCGCTGCCAATGCAAAAAAAGCTCGGCTATTTTCCTCATTTTAGTTATCCGTCCCTAATTATACTTTGAAAGAACGCAAAAACTGATGGCACAAAATTTTTTTTAGCAATACAAATACTCGCGGAACACTTACAGAGTTGATCACAATAACCATGGCAACAACCACTCATCCTAAAAAAAAAATGGGTAGTTTCCATAATGGAGGATTTTTTTTCTCCAGACATTGTCTCAACCGGAGATATTTGGCCTAAATGTATCTGTCCTATTACAACTGTACAGAATGATTTGTGAAAATAAGGCAGCTAACCCACCAATCACATTTCAATAAATTACAATGGTGATCATTATTAGTATCGTTGTAATTATCAGAGTTCTATTATTATCATACTCATAATTGTTTTTATTGAATCATAAGCTAAAAAAGAATAGTGCAGATAAAGAACGTGGCTGAAATCCCTTGTCAATGGCAATACGATTATAACGTTTATCAAAAAATTGCGTTACTTTGGTCTGCTTTTGTTTATGTTTGCGTGACTTCCCTTCGGAGTCGAAACACGGAAGTAAAAAAAATTAATCAACTCCCTTTCCTAGATATATTTACTTATTCTAGCAAAGGTACACAGAAGAACGGAAGAACAGTGATATAATCTGTACACAAATTTCCTATACATGCTTACGAAACCGGGGGAGGGAGGGAGGATAAATTTTAAAACCATAAAACAAACTGCTTCGGGACGGCCCAAATTCAACTTTCGTCAAACAGCTAGATCGCAATGAACACATTCGATACAATTTACATCAAACTCTACGTGCTCTGGCGCTAAACGTTATTAAAGATATCTTTTCAAAGAATGCTTTGAATCGAGGCCGCCTCGATACTACTACACTCCTGTGATTGATTTTATTCACCTTCGTACTTTCCTACCTTCCCTGGGTCTCGGCAGACCAAAAAAAAGCAAAAGCCGCTTCTTTTCCTGGTGCCAGTAACAATTTCCGTGATTC